ATCAATCACGTACCAAGTGTAAATGAGATTGCATCAGACATTCCCAAAAGCTGTCCAAAGAAAACTTTCCTTTCCTGCGGTGAAATTCCCAATTCGTGCATCCTAAAGAGCAAATTGGAATTAAGTAGTACACAATTTACAGACCATATAATACTCGAATCAATAAGTTCTTTGCAATTGATTTTGTGATAAAAATTATCGCTATAAGCGAATGACATTTCGACCATTCAATGGTCAATAAAGTCAAGTTGAAAATGACCGTGAAAACGTTAATTTTAGCGTTAATTTTAATAATTTGCATATATACAAACAATTCAGCTGTTTCAATAATCTGTTTCATATTAATAGTGATTATAGATTTACATGACTGGGCTTTTGTCGTTTATGGAAACATGGTGAAAGAGAAGCACTAGTATTGTGCCAAAATGTGTTCATTCTGAGGTTTTCTGACAAACAACTTCTGACAAAAGCACCACTGATCACAGAACTGTTTGTTGATGGTGAGTCAGTACAGTTGTCCATTAAGTTAGAGAGCTACCCATCCAAGACAGAGTTAAGTAATGACCAAAGAAATGTCGGAGTGTCAGCTAAAGATGGAGCTGCAAGACCTGTGTGTACTTTCCTGAAACGAATGGAAAGCTGAGCCCCTTTTGGTGATTAGCAACATGTTAAGTTTAAAACCCTCTACACAAAAACTGTACAGTGTTTTGTCTTAACTCAACATACCTCTTGATGGCAACCTGGATGGAGTTCTCATTGTGAGTTGCGACAAGAACATTAGCATTTCCTCTCTTTGTTTCCTCCAACACAGCATTTAAAACTTCATCAAAACATTTACTTGTTGCCTTGTAGCTTGGGTGGATTGGATCAGTGTAGCCCAAAGTGCTTGCCCTCAGTCGTTCTTGTTCCATGTAGGCACCTCTGACTAGCTTGGCACCAAACATGTAACCTTCCCGTCTTGCCAGTTCCATGTCTGTCTGGATTTTGGAGTAGGTGTCCTAGAGACATAATGTGTGAAACTGGTAAACTAGATTACATACACCAATCAGGTATTTGTAGGTAGTCAGGTCCTTTAAAACCCAAGAGATTGACTGTAATAATGTATTGACCTTTGCATGCAATGCATTGCAGGCCTATTAGTGGCGAGAGTCTTTCAGGAAAGTCATGTAGCCTTGCACAACCTGTGAAGGTACTTGCAGGCACAGAGCTTTGTGAACGCAATGCTTGCCTATAGTTCTAGATAATATACCATAAAATTAGATGTACTTAATTTATAGGTCATAACAGGGCTTGAAAAAAAACTTGAATTCCAGCTTGCCCTTCTGACAAACAGCACCCAAACTTTGCTTGCCCTCAGGGAAAGTCTTAGTGGACAGACAACTTGCCTGGGCCCTTGCCCTTTTTACAAGTGAGAATGAGCTTGCAGACTTGCATTGGGGTACTGTGAGACTAAAAGTATCTTACTCTCTAAAGAAACGCTGACAACCAGGTCTGTATTGAATCTGCGCCTTTCCAGAGTTTCAAAATCCAATTCACATTAACCATTCAAATTAAGCCGCGGTGCATCCCACATGTATCAACAACCTGCAGGCAAATGACTGCCAGCACTTACCTTTAAGTAACACTGGTATGTATTAAGCACAAGAGGAGAGGTCTTATTGAATTGCCTCATTAAGTCTAATGTTAGATGTCTTATGGCAGGTTGAAAATATGTCTGCTCAGCATCAACCATAAGCCTTACTCCTCTCTTCACAGCATGCTAAAATAAACAGAGATGTTTGATCAGTAAAGCACAGTACTCTAATTTTTATTACAGACTACAATTATAATATTAATCAGCAAACACCATATTATTCATGATATTTCCTAAAATTAGAACCCAACCTTTAAGCTAGCACCCACCCACAACTAAGTTGAGTGTGACACTGAGCATTCACAAGTACCTCTACCTAATTAAAAATAAACAGTTGTCCAAGTAAATACATATTCACTTCAGTCAATCAAACTTTTGTCTTCAGAACAACAGATATATTCAGTACCGACCTTCAATCAAAACTTTGAAACAAATGGTGAGGTCATGGATGCAAGGAAACAAAACACACCAAATTTTATTTCTTGCATCAGTACAATGTGCCACGTCTAGAAACCCCAAAGTGCCTCGTGCATGCATTTTACAATGCAACTCTGAGGAAAAATTAATTAAATAAATATCTCTTCACCTCAGCAAGGGTGGTTAGTCTTTTTGCCATGTTCTCCATTTGGTGAAGTTCCTCATCTTTAAGAACTGAAATGACTGGCCTTCCTGTCTTCTCCTGAATATAGACATTTTGGCAGAGAGGACATTTAGAATAATTTAACATTAAGT